AGTCCAGTCTCTTCCTCCTCTTCGTCGAATCTTCGCTAGCGCGTTTCACTTCCCGGTTCGCAGACGATGCCCTCTGGGCGAGTCACTCAGATGGTTGATGGTGGCACGGTTTAAGGCGCGCAACGTGTGTCAATTGTGTTTTGCTAGAGCGGCGACCATTGCTTGTGACGCTCGAGATTACGTACGTGACGTCGCTGAGGCGGTCAAGAATGACGAATGCACCGGAATAGTGAGCCAAGAACTTCTGGCACAAACCACGTTTGCGGACTGGTGTCCATAACCACACAAGATCGCCCTTACTATAAGATACGGAGCGATGGCAGGCGTCGTAACGTTTCTTAGAACGCTGCTGGGATGCCAAGGTTCGGAGGCGTGCGATGCGACGGGCTTCTTCTGCGCGGCAGAGCATCTCGGCTGTCGAGGTTTCCACGTCTAGTGTAAAAGGTAGTATAGTGTCGAGACAAAATCGTGGGGAGCAAGCGTACAGCAGGTAAAATGGAGAGTAACCTGTAGTCTCATGCTTCGCGGTATTGTACGCGTACGTGATGTAAGGTAGCACTTCGTCCCAGTTTTTGTGCTTAGAATCGACATAAATAGACAGCATGTTCGTGAGAGTCCGGTTCGTGCGCTCTACGAGACCATTGGTTTGCGGGTGATATGGTGTGGCATGGCGGAAATGGCAGGCAGACAGACGCAGGATCTCTTCAACGACGTCGGCAACGAACTGACGTCCGTGGTCGCTAATGACAACGCGTGGAGGACCATGGCGAAGAATTATACAGCGAAGCATAAACTGCGACACGTGCATGGCCGTTGCAGCAGGTATTGCAGCAGTTTCTGCGTAGCGCGTTGGGTGGTCAACACAGACGACGACCCATCGATTGTTACTGCTCGATCGTGGAAATGGACTGAGCAGATCGACACCAACAGTCTTGAAGGGAGAGTTAGGAGGTGGAACAGGATGGAGAAGTCCTGGCGGCGTAGCCGTGGGACGTTTGTGTCGTCGGCATTGTTCGCATCCAGCAACGTATTTTTCCTTGTCGTGTCGCATCTTGGGCCAATAGAACCTTTGCTGGATTCGTTGAAGCGTTCTGGCGAAGCCCATGTGGCCGCGGTTGCATGTGGCCGTAGGTTGCAGGACCGAAAGACCTGAGCCCGTAAAGTGCGTGGAACAACTAGAAGCAGACGGGCGCCTTGTCCGGAATAATTCTTCTTGTAAAGGACGCCGTCATGAACCACAAAAGAGCTTGGGTTTGCGTGTTCATTTGCGGAGGCGAACAGAGAATCTAAGGAGCGGTCCTCTTGTTGGGCTGTCCGGAAAGTCGCGAGATCAGGGAACTCAGAGGCAATAGCGCCGATATACTGGTCGAAGTTGTCAGTGTCGCACTCCGTCGTCGGTAGAGGAAGGCGCGATAGGCAGTCGGCGTCTGCGTGCCGGTTACCGCTCTTGTAGCGTACTGTGAAGTCGAACTTCTGTAAGCGCAAAGCCCATCGCGCCAGTCGTCCAGATGGGTCTCGGAGGCCTACCAACCAGCATAGAGAATGATGGTCGGTGATTACCGAGAAGCGACGGCCGTAGATGTATGGGCGAAACTTGTGCACGGCGAAAACGACTGCGAGGCACTCCTGTTCTGTAACTGTGTAATTTCGTTCTGCCTTGCTCAACGAACGACTCGCGTAAGCGACCACGTGTCCAGCATTGTCATGGCGCTGAACGAGCACTGCACCAAGGCCGATTCCACTGGCATCTGTGTGAATTTTCGTTTCAGCAGAAGGATCGAAATGGCGTAGTACCGGTCCTGAAGTCAGTATGAACCGAAGCTGCTTAAAGGCTGCTTCACAATCCGGTGTCCAGTGGAAAGGGACATCCTTTTGCAGCAAGTCAATCAGTGGTTGTGCTTTATCAGCGAAATTCGGAACAAATCGGCAAAAGTAAGAACACAGGCCCAGGAAGCTACGCAACTCCCTGGGGGACTGCGGCTACTTGAAGTTGCTGACAGCGGCGACTCTCTACGGGTCCGGTCTCACGCCATTTTTATCCACCAGGTGTTCCAGAACCAAGGTTTCACGTTCTCCAAAGCGACATTTTTTTGAGTTCAGTGTAAGCGCAGCTTCCTCGAGACAGGTTAGAACGAGGTCAATGCGATGATTATGTTCTTCAAATGTTCGGCCAAAAATCACCACATCGTCCAGGTAACACAGGCAAATTTCCCATTTGAGGCCCCGTAAAACGGTGTCCATATATCTTTCATATGTGGCGGGGGCATTACACAAGCCGAATGGCATAACATTAAACTCAAACAGACCGTCGGGTGTAACAAAGGCCGTCTTTTCTTTGTCAGCCGGATCCATGGGGATCTGGCAATACCCGGACCGCAAGTCCACCGATGAAAAATAGGACGCTGAATGCAGGCAGTCGATGACATCATCGATGCGAGGAAGCGGGTACACGTCCTTCTTAGTTATAGAGTTGAGACGTCGGTAGTCAACGCAGAATTTCCAGGACCCATTTTTTTTCTTGACCAAGATAAGAGGCGCGGCCCAGGGACTTGACGATTCTTGAATTACGCCAGAGGTTAGCATCTCGCTGACTTGCTCTGAAATTACCTTGCGCTCTGACGCGGAAACTCGATAAGGTTTCTGTCTGAGGGGGTGCGCAGATCCGGTCTCGATCTTGTGACAAGTGCGTGTGCTGGGCATCTGAGGTCTATGCGACTTCCGTGCAAAATCAAATACTTTAGCGTGCCTCGCCAGCAGTGTAACCAACACTTTGCGCTTATGCGAGGGAATAGACTTGCTAACCATCTTACAAAATTCGTATTCCGTGCCTGATACATCAGCATAGTCCGAATTTGCCGCATTGCTGAGAGCTCCTATGCAGATACTGCACTGCCCTTCAAACATGGCAAGGCGCATTCCCTCTGGTAGTACAACAGACTCGGATGAGCAGTTAACTACCTATAATTTAGTTTTTCCCTCGGTGAGAGACACAACACAGCGCGGCAGAAAGATGTTTTTCTTCATGCAAGGCAAAGGCAACGGCTCAATCACAATATCAGGAGAACTGAAACTCGAGTTGGCATTCGAAGCAGCAACGGGCACGCTGGCAGTAGACGATGCCGGTAGAATAGTGTCTTTAACTACAACGAGGTTGTCGTCTCCGCTACGCTGAGGCTGCTGGGCGAGGGCGGACAACAAAACCTCGCCTGCTCCGCAGTCGACAGTCGCACGGCACTCTTGCAAGAAGTCAATTCCAAGGATAACGTCATGCGTGGAATGAGCGAGCACTGCGAATTCTGCCTTGAACCCTTTACCAGCAACACGAACAGACACAGTGCACACACCTACTGGACACAAAGCCATGCCGCTGACTACTCGAAAAGTAGAAGATTTATCCTAATAAAACATAACCTTGCGGCCAAGTCTCTCCTTGAAAACTACAGGAACTGTTGCACCGGTGTCTACCAGAGCCATCGTGGGAACATCTTCAATGAATACATGAACCTTGTTGTGAAGCATGTGAACTAATGGAGGCATACTTGTGTGCAAAGCGGTACGTCCAGCGACCTCGCCTCCATCGGCCGTGCCGGCTAGTTTCCCGGTGGCGGAGAGGAAAGCTGCGGCTGGGGACGGGGAGATGGGGACCGTCGCTGGCGCGTGGTAGGTGGCGTCAAGCTCCTCACAAAGGCAGGCGAGTCACTGCAGATGTTCGGCCGGTGCCCGTGCTTCTGGGCAGTTGAATCCGAAGGCCAGTAGGCGTAATCGGGCTGTTGACTTCGCCGTGCAAGCATCACTGGTCGGTCAAAAAACGTCGTGCATGGGCGACGTCGCGATGGGCAAAACCGGGCGATATGTCCGCGAACACCGCACTGGTAGCACACGGGGCGTTCCCGAGGCACATTGAATGCTGCGGTGTGGAGAGGATGCTCAGGGAACTGTTGCCACTCAGACACAAACGGAGGCGTTTGGCTGTCGTAGCTATAACTGCTGCGGGGCGCATAAGACGACTCAACGTAAGTAGCCTGTGGTGGCGGAGCCCTCAGCCGTGGACTGCGGGTGGAGTAACTGCGCTCGTCGAAACTCGCAGCATTGATGCTTGGGGATAGTGTATCACACTGCGGGTTTCCCGCTTGCATGGGAACAGAGACATGGCGACGCAGTTCCTCCTGTACAATCTGACGAATGGTGGAGGAAAGGTCGGCAGGTAGAGAATTCTGGCAGACATGGACAGTGGCAACAGTCGTGACGTTGGCCAGACGTCCGAACTTCGATGTGATGCGACGAGTTTTAAGAGCCTCGGAGGTTCGGCAGTGGTTAATCACGTCGGCCACGCATTCCAGGCTCTCCTAGCCAATGAGGAAGTGGTAGACGTCATCGGCAATGCCCTTGAGTATATGGCCCACTTTGTCTTCTTCCGTCATGTGGGCATCCACCGACTTGCACAACTTCAGAATCTCTTCAATGTAGGTTCTGCATGTCTCACCGGTGACTTGAGCCCTCTGCGACAACGTCTGCTCGGCACGGTTCTTCGGCGCTACTCAGATGTGCAGAAGCCTCGCCTCCACAGTCCTCTTTCAACTGGCAGGATAAGTTGTCGCTGAGTATAGTAAATGATGCTTCTGACAGAATGTGTTACAGCGCATGGTGGCAATAACTACTACAGGCTAGAAGACCTAATTTAAAGCTGTATTCCCAGACAAAGCGTTAACATAGCTTTTTCAAAAATTTGGCCTTCCATAAGTTTTTGCTGGAGGGTGTACTGCCGGTGCATCTTGGTGCTTTATGTGCCTTATTTTGTCCCCCACGCATATACACAAAAAAGTGAACTTTCTTTTGTGTATGCCTTGAGGCTGGAGTGCTGGCTGGTTATGCAAGCCTCCTCCTCGCCTTGCCTCTGATTGTCATCTTGTATTACCTGTGCCTGTACAATTTTCTCCTTCCAATGTCGACTGTCCTTGTGAGTCGATAATGGACAGCTTCTGCATGTATTTCTTACTCAGGCTTCGTTGTTGTCACGAGCGCGAGCTTTTGGATGGACATCTTCATCCGACACTTTTTGTGCGCCGAAGGCTCGGACCAGCATGACGACCTCGTGTTCTTTGTGAAAAAGACAGCATGCAAGGCGTCCCGACGCTACGTCCCACGACTGGAGGTGGGTGTGGCAACACTGTTGAAAGAGGCTGCTTTTGTCATTTTTAATGTTCCAAGTTCCTCACGTGGAGCTCCTGGTGGCAAAAATAGCGGAAGCTGTACGTTTTGTAGTGATCTCGCAAGATAACATTTCAATTTAATTGCTTTTTCAAAGAAACTTTTCCTTACACAAAAAAGATTATGTGTGTCGTATGACCTATGATCCCTCATGTTCATTTACTGTTTCAATAAAAATAAGCAAGGTTTTGTTCCTTATTCCTCAGCAAGCTCAGGTATGTACAATTTATTGACATTCTTTTCCTTATTAACCTGCTTTTCATATTTTTGAAATCAGAATTTGCATTTAGCATTCATTACACATCATGATGGCCCGATCCAATGCAATAATTTGTACTGATATGGTTAACAGTAATTACAAATGGCATATTATTATGTGCATAATAATTATCTATATTTTGTGCATATAAAATGATAAGGCTTCTCCAAGAAGCATCAGTAGGCAGGTGTAAAAGGGGCACCTGTCCCTCTCAAGGCACACCAGCACATAATTGTGTCAGACAAGCTGATCCAACACTCCCCTTTTTCTGGCAGTGATGAAACACGGGTTTGCACCCTCTAAAAGAAAATTTAGCTAACGCCCATGCCAGGGAGTCTCAAAGCTAGACGTGTCTTATATGCGACGGCACATTTCTGTCTATTACAACTTTTTTTAGTGTCATCACACAGCCCAATTTTCTGCCATTGTTGACTTCACATTTATCCCTCTGGCAGCCATCATGTTACTTTAATAGACTACCAGTGATCTGTTCTGTATTTCTGCTGACATGTGAATCCACTGCGGCGGCTTATCGGCCATGGTGTGTCACTTTTAAGAAGGTGTATTTCCGGTTCCTAGCCGCAGTGACTGCACATTTGAACGAGGGTGAAATGCAAAGCCACCACCTGCCTACGCCTAGATTCTAGTACACGTTTCATCAAGCATGACAGCTGGACTTCAACTATCGGAAGCCCAACTGCCTTGTACCGCTACACTTGTGAATATAAAAGCAATTCTCGGTGAAACTGGTAAAAGTGTGCTCCCAAATGGCATCTGCACCAGCCGCATCTAGAAAGAATGGCTCTTGCAGTGTAGCTGAAGGCAATATCAACAACTGCCACAGCTGCTGTCTACAACCATGCTGCTTGGCTTTGTTTGCAAAAGCGTGCGCCTAGTTGCACTGGCATCGCCACCAATGGGCACTGGGGCAATTTTTTCACCAGAAAATTTCAAATTTTGCATATGCATAGTTACACGCACGCATACAAACATATGTATGAATGTGCACAAAGTATGGTTGCGTGCATGAACACACACAAATTGTAATCTCGAGCAGCAGCTGTTACAGACAACACTGGCAGCAGTGGCGGACAACTATGGCATCAAAATCAGCTCTTGTGATCCCATAGCAGTTTTCACTGTATAACTGCTTAGCCAATAGAAATGCTTTCATGTTCTCATTTTAAAGGAACATGCTTAGGGATCCTCTGCCGCTTTCTTCATGGCTGCATCGTTGTAGCGGTAACTACATGTGAACCTTGGAATGGTGTGGCCATATTAAACCAGCAATCTCCCTCTCCCCAGACCACCGTGCAGGTTTTTCGTCGAAATTCCAAGAAGCTTCCCATAGCAGACTTGGATCTTCACTGGGAGGAGACGGTCTACCTGAACCTTATCGTTCAGCAGCTCGAGTACACGCTAACGGCAGCAGCGTGTCTGCGTACGGGAAACCAGCATCTGCAGGTGCTGCGGCGACGTTCTCAGGTGGGCCACTATATTTATTTATTGATTTATTTAGGAAGACTGCAGGGCCTTGAAAAGGCCCAGACAGCAGGGGAAGGTACAAAACAAATAGTACAAATTGTGCAGGTGTCAAAAATAACATACTAACATTTGAGCGAATCTACCAGTAAGTAAACAGGCACTGATTAAATGTGAAACAACGAAAAAGAATATAAAATATGAAAAAATCAACAACACGTTTGATTTAAGCATCTGTTTGTTAAGCTATTCTTATCATATTCGTCATTGTTTATCGTGCATGCTTCACAGGGTAGTTACTACAAAGCTTGCATGACCTTCTACTAATGCCCTCAAGGCTTCATTCTGACCTGCACAGATGTCTGTTTGTGTATTTTCTTTCAACTCATTATAATGAGATTTATGTGTGTAGCGACTCGATTTGCTGCGTAATCAGTCACTTTTGCACTAAAAAATAAGCCGAACCACAAGCATTACATCCAGGCACGATTCAGTGGTTGACTGCGTGCATTACAAGAAAAGTAAAACTATTCTTTCGGCACTGCTAACAGAATTTAAAACAGGGCAATCAATCTAAGTCAATGTGGTCATTTGATGTTGGTCATTTGATAGAGAAGATAGACAGAAGAGAAGAAAAATGCTGTCCACTGTTTGCAGAGATGCTGGTTGTTATTGAAAGACTGTGCCACACACCTTTCTTCTTTATGTTCTTTCTACTTACTTGTCAGCTGTGTGAGGTTTAATTGGGATCTGGTCCATATAACCGCTAAAATTATGTTGCGTATTTTGTAACATCTCATCGTGGCCAAAGCATGTTTGGTAATGTCGATTTGTTTGCACATGGCATATTTGCAGAAGGAAAGTTTTTCAGGCCCAAAGAAAATGAAACAACTAGCTTTAGATAACTAAGTTTGGAAGACAACAAATATATCTCATGGGAACGTAAGCAAAGTATTACATAACAAGAACAACTCTATCCCTTTCACTAGAAAGAAGAAAAATCTACCAGATATGTATACTGAAAAAATTTTGCACTTAGTTTGTAGAACATCTTTTTTTAAATAAAACTGTACCATTCCTTCAATTCAATGAGGTTTCTTTATTTCGCCAATTGTGTAAAGAAAGATAGCTCGAAAACGGCTTGACTGCATGGCAATACAACGAAAGCAGCGAAAAAAATGAAAGCTGAGACAGAAAAAGCAGAATGGACAAGGTGACTGCCGTATGAAATCTCAAAGAGGAATTGCTGTCATCAAATATGTGTTACTAATAAGAAAATGTGTACTCATTCCTTGCCTACAGCAGGTAATCTTTTGTTTCTTTTTATTTATTCAACTTGTCCTGCATTAGTTCTTCTGACCCAGTTCACTCAAAATTTTTCTGCCGTGGGACAGCGCTTCCTGTCTTCCGGTATGACTAAAAGCTATCACAGTCCATCTTGATGAATCAGTGGTTAAGGCACTCAGCTGCCGACCCAATGGTTGCGGGTTCACTCTCGATCGCATTTTGGTGGAGGTGGAAACGCCATGTACGGTGCGATGTCAGTGCACATTTAAGGACACCGAATGGTCGAAATTTCTAGAGGCCTCCTCTACAATGTCCGTCGTAATTGTCTCGTGGTTTTGGGACGTGAAGCCCCAGATATTATTACTAACAGTTTTTACCTTCTATGGTTATACGAAGATGGGTAGGTGCCGTCACTACAGTGTGACTCACTCCATTCTTTGTCACAACTACAACTTGTAACACTTCTTTTAAGTTTGTTTAATGATGAACCTCTTTATGAGGGACGTGTACGAAGGAGTGATCTTGTCTTTTCTATGAGTTGTTTCTGATAAGTGAGGTATTGCACTACGTATTTTCTTATAAACCCTTACTTTTATGCAGCACATTGGTCTATCTCACACCCCAAGTGTATGTTATATCAGTGTTCCTTATAAAGGTGTTCAATAATTCTTGACCAGCTCTAGGAACTTGTCTTCTGCATTAGCGTTATCAACGGGTAGTTTGGAAGGCTCACTCATCGGCTTGGTGTCCCTTCCAGCGTGTGTATGCGTCCCCCACACGTCACAGCATGGAGGACAAGGGAGACACCGAAGAAGTGGCTTACCCAGACATCTTCTTCGCTGTTGACAACTATGAGGAGGTGAGAGTATCGCCACAGTCGGCAATTCATTTTGTAATTGCAGCAAACTATGGATTTATCATAGGATTCAATGTATTAGGTACATTTTGTTTAGGGTACGGAGCATTTGTGTCTGTTTTATGCAAAAGCATCATTGCAGGTGTTTTTTTTTTTCGTCTAAAAAGGCCAAGATCACCTTAAATGAAACCGAGAAAATATACTTTTTCTTTTGCTATTGGCCATATGATTGGGCCTTCTCCAACAATTTTCTGCCAGTCTACTCATGTTACTGAAATAACTGAAATATGTATTTTGGCTAAAATCGGCATAGCCTGCTATTCTTGGTTTTCAGGAGTAAAGCTTGTAGTTCACGCTTATAGATTAAAATATTTCGTTTCAGCTTCATCCATCTTCTAAAAAGGGGTAAATCAGAATGATTGGATTGGATAAACTTTTATTTGGTCCTCCAAAACACTGAGATGCCGAGCTCCTCAGCCGCCTCGCGGGCTTGGTGGACAGCCCAGAGCTGATCTGCCAAGGATGAGCTGCAGATTGCCACCTCCCATCAGAGTGAACAAACTACGGTTAAACCTGCTTATAATGAACTCTTTGATATTACGAAGCTTTTCTATTCTCCGTCGTTACTCCATAGATGCACATGTATTTGCGACCTCTATGTAACAAAGTGGGAGACATCCTTGATATAACGAATTTTCACCATGGACAATTTAGCAATTTTGCCCCAGATTTTATCATTTTCGCCCAAGCAGGCATCTTCCGTGGTTGCCTTACCACTGCTTAAACTTGAAGCAACGGTGGCACACTCTCAAGCGAAACTCTCAAGCGAGAGCGAACACTCGTTATTGCTCATGAAAGTTATGATGCATGGGGGCGTGTTATCAATTTGGACTTAATAGGGAATGTGGCGACGACGGTGAAAACTCATCGAGAGTGTCCGTACATTTGCTATCGCAATAATAGTGCAGTTTTTTGCTGTTATACGAATGTTTTGGGTGAGCTCAGTCTTTTGTTGCCCTTTTGTCTAATTTGTGCGCTTATTTTTGATTTTTGTACTGAACCTGCATATAATGAAATCCTCTTTGTAAAGAATTTTTCGGGAAATTCGTCTGTTTCGTTATATCTAGGTTTCACTGTGTATAGCAATATTTCGCGACATTATTAACACCATCTCTGTGCTTCCAGCTGGGCCGTTCTTTGTTGCATGGGCATAATGGCGATGACCAGACTTAAAAATTGAATTGCAGGAGCACTGATATTGTGCAGTTTTGTGAACAAATCATCAGTTGAAATTAAGTGCTTATGCTGTAATCACCTGCCTCTGTCCTTGTGTGTGTGCGCCTAAGTGTTCTGCTATGTTGTAGATCGAGTGGTGCTTTCACGCAAGAGGCCCACCAATTCCGACTCTCGGCAGCATTTTCTCATTCTTGGCATTCATTGAAGAATTTTAAAGAATGTTCTTTTCTTTTTCTTTACTCTTTTTGCACCATTTCAGATCACTTCTTCATTAAGGAGTATATCGGTGCTCAATGTATCTTATTTTCACCAGTCTTCGATCTTGAATATACTGCATTGGAGCAAAAGGACACGATACTATAGCACAAAACTTGTAAATAAACACCGAAATCTAGAAGAAAGTAGGACAGTTTGCCTCTTATTCTTTGCATTTGCCTCTTACTCTTTGCATTTAAGTTCTGCCCTACAGCACCATCTCCTTTAGCAAGTACCAACCTGCCCAGGAAAATCTCATTGGGCAAGGAAAGCATGATGGGGAAGCAACTAGGACACAGATGAAAGAATGCGACCGTGTTGGTTGTTTCAATTGTGATTTTAGATGCATTGCTGGCTTAATGGATCTCGCTCAGTCTGATTCAGGCAGATGCCAGATTCAGCTCATTTTTTTACTTGAAATTGTGCTTTGCAGTTGTTGTTACTATCAGGAATTGCCCTGTTTTGAATGTAATTGTTTTAAAAGTGAAAGATACTGAGATTCATTCTAGCGAAATTCGCCCCAGTTTTGGTTTCAGGATTTGGCATTTTGTAGAGAAAGAAAGCTCCACAGTTATTTTCTTAGCAAAGTAGCGACTGCGTAGAAGCATTGACCAGTTTTCTAGTTAGTACACTACGTTCTGTTTGAACCGAGCTGTCTCACACGAGTGACGGTACACGGCATAGAAATGTGTCATATTAGTTGACATAGAAAGGAACCATTTATTCTGGTGGTTGTGAACTGGTGACTCCTGAGCAGCACACACACATGTCATATTTGCTTTGGGGCCTAGTACAATCCCTAATGCCACAAGTGTGCGCAAGGTTGCCCTTTAGGGGGACGGGGAGCTGCCTCGCAGTGCCCTCCTCCTCCCTATCATGTCAATGTATGGGGCTGGCTTTATGCCTCCCCTTTCTTCCCCAGTGCGCCCACCTATGCTTAATCCTAACCGTGCGCATGACTCTTGGCACCACTGCTTCCTGGACAGTGTCACCCTGAGCGGTGGTCAATATTCCACAACACATTTTCTCTGAAGAACTGCTGACGTGAAATCGTCTTGTTATTTGTTTGTTAGATAGTTGCTGACCCTGTAATTGCCCCGCGAAGCTTCAGTTAGCTTGTGGAGTGACTCGTGACAGAGTAAATGCCCCCTTGCATTTCTCAAGGAACTGTTTAACTGAAATGGCCACATTTGGTAGCTTTCATAATCATTGTCCTGACTGCTGATGTCACAGTTTAATGAGAATGATTTTACAGCCTGCAATTACTGCACTGGGATGACTCACATGTGCTCAACCTGTTTGCAATACCACATGACTGCTACCTCTGGTTATGGTGATACCAACAGTTCTGTGTTTCATGTCTGAAGCCATGCAGCACAAAGCTCATGTAATTCTAGATGATGCCGGCGCATTTAACGAACTAAGTCTTTGTTAAGCCATTACTCTACTCGTAGTGCACAAAAAGAATTTGGACATTAAAATTTTCATGTCATGGCATCAAAGAATAACAAGGATTTCACTTTTTAGGCCTTCCAAGGTCTGAACCTGCGGCCGGGCGAGTTGCTCTGCGTGGAGCTCTGTGCCCGTTGTCGTGATGGCCCCCAGGCAGCATTGCTGTTTTTAGGATGTGTGGCACACGAGCCCCTGGCGCGGACTCTAGCCCGTGCCGATGCCTCGTCATCTACGACACCGCGAGGTCGATGTCACTTCGTGTCTCTGAGGGGACCCCAAGGCAGGGGCCAGGCACAGGTGGCCCTCAGGAGGGCGACGACCGCACCCTCACAGGTCAGTTGCGTAGCGCATCTGGCCACGGCTATCCAAAGCAAGCAGTCCACACTGATGCATCAATCAAGCAAAATACCAGCATCAATTCATTTGCGTTGTCTCGGCCTTCTTTTCTTTAGAGGCTAGACAATGAAACCATAAATTTGTTTGATGGAGAAATTTTCAAGCAATTTGGACATTTAAATGAATATTACAGTAGTCCAATTCACACAACACAAATTGAAAATATTCTGAATGTCACAGTATTCAAAACGAATGAAAACACTGCTAGATTGTACAGCGTGTAGCCTCCATGTAAAAGTTGTTTCAGTGCTGGGCGATTTCAATATGTCATGAAACCACGTACTCACGGGAAGCCCACGTTTTTTAAAGGGACCAACAACCGATTTTTCTTGGCCCGTTTATTTTATGTCGTGACAGAAAGCTCATTCTTCATAGTGTTGTCGCTGCAGAAGGCAGTCCCAAAAGCATGTAGTTATTCAACAAGCAGCATATTCTATCTGAAAGGCTCTAAACGTGGACGTATCTTTCCTCCAGCAATGTTGAAAATTAATAGCGCCGCCGCCAACCCTCCCTGCGACTTGTGAAAGCTGTCGTTGCTCTGCTTTCGCAGGAGTTCCTGTCGCTATGCTTAACCAACTTTATTTGTACCTTTTTAACTACTTTTAAAAATGGTATGGTGTTACAAATGAGTAGATATGGATTCATGCATCTTCCCTACATTTGTACCACGTTGCGAGGCACCCAAGGTTGCCTGCGTTTGTGTCATGGGTGGCTGCTCTCGGCGTCGTTACTCTTTCGATACACGAGCCAAGCCAAGTAATCGAAAATGTCGCTACGCACATGCACGGCCACGACAAGTTGCAGTGCGCATCATTTCTCAGACACAGTGTAGGTATTGAAACTATGTTGCTCCAAAATCTTAGTGACCTGGAAACTGCATGCAAGGTAACACGAGAACACTGACGTACTGATGAGCATGGGATTATTACTTCACATGAAGGCAGTGCCACTTTAGTGCGTACTACTAATTGCGTGCATATGTACTTACATTTTTACGAAGCGATATATTTTAATGCAAGAAAACCAACAATATTTCAAAGCTAAAAAAAATATTGCCGACCGTGTACAACAATCGACGGTCGCATGGCCGGGTACCTCTCTGCTGTTTCATTCACTGTTCCTATTTGCCCGACGATGGGAAATTAAACAGTGAATGTATGTGTATTCAATAAAAGGTTTCACTATAAGCACGTGTGTGCATTTTTTATTGATAGCGGCATTTTCGCTGCCATCTTGAAGTTTGATCCACGACAGAGCAAAGGCCCCCTCCCAATCTTGTTGGATTATTCTTAACCAAATGGGGGGACGGCACTTGCGCAGGATTTAGGGTAACAGATGGGGTGCAATACATCATAGCAGCAGCACCGTTGCCATCTTTTCTTCTTTTTTTTCGTGCAATTCATGGATGTTTTCAGCATATTTTCACAGCAAGAGTGATGTTTTTGGTAATGTGGAAGGGCCAATAGAAGACAAAAAAATTTTTTTTAAGTGTTCTTGTGATACATATGTTGTACTGGCGCTGCAAGCACTCTTTTTTCTATAAAATTCATGATATAATGTGATCTGACTTCTAGAGATATATTATAGAATAAAGTCTGTTGTGACTTTAAAAGTGTTCTCAGTGATTTGTGACCTTTAAAGGTGTTCTCAGTGATAGCAGTGTAACGGATGCAAATTTATATTGAATATTACATATTGCAAAGGTATTTTTTTATTCGATCTGACTTTGCTGTTTCAAGGTTTGACATTGACTTGTTTTTGTTCTCTGTTTTGCAAACTTGCTGCTGTCGAAGCTTGTTCTGTTATCTTTGTAGGTGGGAACTCAAGTATTCAGTCAGTGTGTGATGTATTTCCCGATATATCAGATTACGAGGCTGTGCTACTAAGAAATACCATGAACTGGAAAGAAAATTGTAACTCTGCCAGTTTCTGCAACTTCTTGAGAGCTGATGATGTTTTCATTATAGACACGCTTTCATTTTACTTAGATTCTTTTTTGGAGGGCGGTATAGATGTTCAGGACCTTTGGGATCGCTTTAAGTATATTGTTAATGACTGCATTGAAAAGTTCCTGGTTTACTCGGGAGATGCTGAGATTGAAAGGCAGTTAAACAGGTTAAAAAATGAAATGAAAAAGACAAGCTCGGTTTCACTAAATAAACCTCAGAAGTTTTTCTCTCTTTCCTCCAAGCTTTGCTTCCAACTATCTGCTGATAAACAGCGCTACTTTGGAGAATCACTGCATAAATTCATCACAGCATCTCCAAAGAAGTTTTGGCGGGAAGTGTCACCAAAACATCACCAATATGATGTATTTGAACCTTGACGGTATTAACTTGGATGATGAAAAAAAAAAAATATTGCTAACTCGTTTATTGAGCATTTCCACTCCGTTTTTACTTGGGATGATGATGTGTTACCTGTTTTAGGAGAACTCTTCACCTGCTATTTCTGATGTTCTAATAAATGAGGAGGCAATTTTACACATGCTTTTAAAACTGGACAAAAAGAAAAGTTTCGGTCCTGACGATATATTCAACACTTTCCTGAAAAGGTATGCCAAATGGATTGCAAAATACTTGCACATTGTGTTTTTGCGTTCATTAGAAGACGGCCAACTCCCGAATGACCTGAGAACAGCCAGAAGGATATCACTTCATGAAAGTGGTGCCAAACAGTGTCTAAAAAATTGCCATCCTATATTTGTAGCGTCCAGCAGCTGCAATATTTTAGAGGACTGTATACATGAATGCATCGTGGAATTTTTAGATGCGAATAAAATCTTGACAGAATGCCAGCATGGATTTCGGAAAGGGTACTCAACTTGTACACAACTAGTTGCTGCCATTAATGATTTTTCTGTGTCAATAAATAATGTTAAAAATTGATAAAATTTTCATGGACTTCTCAAAAGCTTTCGACAAAGTATCACACAGTAAATTATTATTTAAATTACATTGCTTAGAAATCGCAGCCTGGTTATTTAGATTTCAGCGTACCTGAATAATTGCCATCGGTTTGTTGCATTCAAAGGCGATCAATCTAACAACTTGCCCCAGTGCAATCGGCTGTAACGCAAGGGTCAGTCCTAATGCCACTCCATTTTCTTATATAAATAAATGATATAGTAAAAGACATGTATGTAAAATAAAATTGTACACGGACGACTGTGTTCTTTATACAGAGGTTAGCGATCCCATTGGATCAGGCACTGTTAAACAATGATTTCAGCGTGTTGCTTCATGGTGTAAACAATACCAGATGTGTATGAACTTCAACGAGACTGTTTTCATGTAGATAACTTGAAAGAAAACACCCTTTATTTTTACATATAATTTCAGCAGTGTGAGTTTGTCTGAAATGTCCGAATACAAACATTTTGGGCTATGGATGTCAAATGACGTAAAGTGGAACAAACTTATTTATTATGTTACTGCTAATACTTATAGAAAATTATTCTTTTTAAGGGGAACGTTAACTTTGGCTACCCCTTCTGTAAGAAAATTAACATACCATTCCATTGTTCTACCTGTTTTAGACTATGCTGCTGTTATATGGGACGCCTACACAAAAGGTAATATTCTGAAGCTAGAAAACAACCAAAAAAGAGCCATACAATTCATCTATTACGATTTTCCATGCAGCTCAGTACTGCAAGCTCAAGCTAACCTAAAGCGCTTAGCCAAAAGAAGCCGCTCATCACGTTTAAAATTCTTATATCAATTAATCAAAGGGCACTATAACGTAAGCGCTAGCGAATAGGATTTCATTCTCTTCCAATTATTCAATGCACCAAAGACACAAACTGACAATCACTCCTTTCCGTTCTCATAATGACTGCTTCAAGTATCTTTTTTTTTTTTTTTCTTTGAGAACAGTCACAGATTGAAATAGCTTTAGCAACAACATCAGTCAAGCAATTTCTTTCATCGTTTCTTGATGGCTGAAACACGATCAGTTATTTTTTATAGTTACTGACTGCTTGCATCTCCATTGTCTAGTTGCTTTGTTTCATTTGCACTTATGATAAATGCTTTGCTCTGTCATTGAACATGAATTTGTTATCTTTAATGATTGTGTCTGTTTTCTTTTATTATTATTATTATTGTTGTTGTTGTTGTTGTTGTTGTTGTTGTTGTTGTTGTTGTTGTTGTTGTTGTTGTTGTTGTTGTTGTTGTTGTTGTTGTTGTTGTTGTTGTTGTTAATATTGCCATCTTCCTGTACATAAATGTCATTGTGTATTTTTTTCATGCATTGTATCCCAACCTGCTAAAACTGCCGAAGGAGTTGCAGTATCAATAAATAAATGAACAGCTATGTTTATTATTATTATTTTTTATTATTATTATTATTTCCAGGTACTGTTGGCCGATTGGGCCGTTACAGGGGTGGGGTAGAAAACTGACATAATAACCATCATGTCATGCGTAAAAAAGAAATGCATAGCCGATACAAAAGGAATACATCACTATACTACGTTCTACGACTTACAGGCTGCATCACATACATCACAAAATACACTTCCCAATATTACATCCTACAACGTACATGAGACAAGTTACAGCAAATAGATTCATAGTCAAAAGATGACAGGCACACACACCAAAAACAGCAATCACCGTTTACGAAGATTCACCTAGAAAATATTTCGTAACATTGTTTTCAAAATGTTCTGCAGTTTGAGAATCACGTATAGCATCGGGTAATACATTCCAGTCTTTTATTGTTCTAGGGAAAAAAGAGTATGCATATGTGTTCACACGACATTGAGGAACTAGATATTTTCTGAGGTGGTCACTTCGTAGGCTCCGCACTTGACGGGGAATTAGGTACTGCTCTGCATCAAAGTTAAATGTATTTCGGGAAAGCAGAAACAAGAATTTAAGTCTGGCTATGAGACGGTGGTCCTCGAGGGGCTGTAAATTTAATTCTTGCAGCATCTGTGTAACAGAATATTTTGAAAGAACAAATCTAGCCGCCCTTCTTTGTACCCGCTCGATGTTTTTAATTAATCCTTTTTGATAAGGGTCCCATATGATGCTTGCGTATTCCAGTGTAGGCCTTACTATTGTTAAGTACGCTGTTAACTTTACGGGGGCTGGAGCCAGTTTTAATTTGCGACGTAAGAACCATAACTTCTTTTCAGCAGTAGAGCAAATATTACTGATATGTTGGGTCCAGTTCAGGTCTTCAGATATTGTTACTCCTAAGTATTTACATCTGTTAACGGTAGCTAACGCAGTGGAACTTAGTTGATACTCGAAATTTTTGACGTGCTTTACTTTGTTTGTAACTCGCAAAACAACCGTTTTTTCTTTATTTATTTGCATTTTCCATGTTTCGCACCATTTCTCGATAGATGCCAAGGCATCGCTGAGTATTTTTGATCATTATGGTTGCATATTTCTCGATAAAGTAAACAATCATCGGCGAACAGTCTAACAGTAATATTTTGATTAATGTCGGAACAAATATCGTTAATATAAACGAGAAATAACACCGGTCCGAGTACGGACCCTCGAGGGACTCCAGATGTTACGTGTAAACGATCAGACTTGTAGCCGTTTATGTCCACATACTGCGTCCTACATGTCAGATATGACCTGACCCATTCTACTTCATTGTTATTTATGCCAATCTGCTTCAATTTCTTAATTAATTCGTTATGAGGAACCCTATCGAAGGCTTTTGCGAAATCAAGGCATATTGCATCAACCTGTCTTTCGTTATCTATTGCTTTTGAAAAGTCTTGGATGGTCTCAAGAAGCTGCGTTACGGTTGATAGCTTTTGTTGGAAGTCGTGTTGGTTAGGATGTAGTAGTTTTGTATTTTCTAGGTATTGATATATAGCTTTGGATATAACATGTTCGAGGAGTTTGCAGCAGACGCAGGTTAAGGAGATTGGCCGGTAATTTTCGATATTCTGCTTGTCTCCGGTTTTGTGTACCTGGACCACTTTTGCTACAAGCCAGTCGTCTGAGACCCGTTTTTGTTGCAAGGAGGCATTAAAGATTATTTCCAAGTATCGGGCAACCCATTCAGCGTATCTACGCAAGAAAGCATTTGGAACTCCATCCGGACCAACAGATTTATGTTCTTTAATGTTTAGCAGGAGCGATAGTATTCCTTCATAGCTAATGCGTACTTCTGGCATGTCAGACAAATGGGAGAACTGATGTTGCTGTAGTTGAAGCACTACATTCGGAATCATTTGAAAAGACAGACTGGAAGAACTTATTATGGTAAGACGCAATTTTCGAACAGTCGGTTATGATTTCGTCGTCAACAACAATGCTGTATTGCTTTGAGGGGTTTGTGACAAATGACGCCAAAACTTTTGCGGGGAAGACACCATGAAGTTTGTAAGTGTTTCCTCGTAATATTTCTGTTTTTCTTGCCTCAGCGTTGTACGCAACTGTGAAGATAAGTTTGATATCTTTTCACGATTTTTTACTTTCCTTTGCCGTCCTATTTTTCGCTTCTGACGAACTATCTCTCGCGTTATCCAGGGATTACGCCTATTCTTTCGCTTTTTTCTTAATGGTACGAATGAATTTACACAGTGAAAGATAATGGTTTTGAATCTTGTCCACAAAGAATTGACGTAATCATCAGGGCTCAGACTGTCTAGATGAAACGATAAGTAGTCAATGATGCTCGTGTCATCAGCTTTATCAAAATTGGGGACATGCGCAATACATTCTTTTACATTTGATGCAGGAACGTCAGCTCTAATTTGTACAAATACTAGTTGATGGTCCGATATGCCATTTTCTACTGCTACCTGATAATCTTCAAACCATCCATCAAGAAATGCTAGATCCAATATAGACTGCGCTGTTCCCGTTTTGCGAGTGCCTTCCTGTACCAACTGCGTTAAATCGTTAGCGAAAGCAATGTCAAGCAGCACTTCACAGTCAGCTCGTTCCCGTGACTCTATGGTAAGTGAATTCCAATCAACCCCAGGCAAGTGAAAATCACCGGCAATTATTAACCACTGGTTTCGAGTCTTCTGTTGTTCTACATAGTGCTGAATCGCCTCTAAGTATTCAATCGATGCGTTAGGGGATCTATAGATTGCTCCTATTACGACTAAATTGGTTCCTAATTTTACTTGGCACCAAGCGCTCTCGTGATTAGGGATACCACTCATGGTTACGAATTCAATATTTTCCTTTATTATGATTGCAACTCCTCCTCCTCTATTTTCTCTATCATTACGTATTATCTTAAAACCTGGAGGAAATAACTCGTAATCTCGTATTTCTGGTCGCAGCCACGTTTCGGTAACAATAACCACGTGAGGGTCATAACTAGCGAGCACATGTTCTAAATCACCGACTTTATTCACGAGACTTCGAGCATTAAGGTTTATAAGTCGAAAATCTGTTTCCTGGATGACGGTATTTCACTGGCCACTATCTCTTGGTGTAGCCTTTGGCGGCGCACCTTTGGTTTTCGGCAACTGCCGAATCCTAACACGGCTATTCTTAGAATAATCCCATACGTAGACGTTGTTATCTACAGTAAGCATGTCTCGGTTCAAGCGCACGCGCGAGCCTTCTTTTTTTTTCTTTCAACGCAGACTTCTAGAGCAGCTTGCGCTTATTCAGTGTCTCTTTTGAAGAGTCGTCACTAACCGAAATACCACTCCCTTTTAGTTTTCCGCAGCTATTGAAAACCTTTTCTTTTTCCTCATAATCATAAAGCTTCAGTATTACTGGCCGAGGCCTTAAGGGCTCTTCTGCGGATTTGTTGTGATGTGGCCTTCCGACTCTGTGCATCTGCTCTATCGTTTTCACATTAACACCGAGCTTTTTCTTCAATACTTCTACAACTACCTTTTTTTCTAATTCTTCTGAAGTTTCATTTTCAGTCTCCGGTATACCAAACATCATGAGATTGTTTCGCCGCATTCTGTCCTCTAAAGCAACAAGTTTTTCCTGTTGCTTTTCCAAAGCTGAATTCAACCTCTCAGTTGTGTCTTTTAGTTCTGCAAGACTTGCCGCTTGGTCCCTACAAAGCTGTACAATGTCTTCTAGGGCCTTAAGTCTGTCGCTAAGGCCGCTTAGGTTGGCCTGAATTGCCGTTTGGCAATCACACAACCCTTGTACAAGTACTTTTATATCGGGTCCAGGGTTCGTCTCAACGTCACCCGACAACAGCAAACACAGTGATGAAAAAGCAGAATACACAATATGTCATTAGTTTACAATATGTCATTAGTCTGTTTCCAATGTCATAGCCCTTTTCGTAATGGCCATCAAGTTTGAGTTGCGTCCAAAAGTTTGTGGTGTGTTCTCTACATCAATTTAGGAAGACACGAAGATGTATTTTATAAAAAGTGCTCATTTCCTTAAGATTTTAGTTCACTTGTTTAACGAATTTGATGTGCACCAGTGATAAAAAATGTGTTCATAATGATGTGTGCTAGCTGAGCCACTGCATATCTATGCTCAGCCAGTTCCAGCCAAGGAAAGCCAAGCTTAAACAAACAGGAAGAAATTGGGTGCTTGTACATCGTCGATTGCTTGTTTATGTTCATCTGCCACTTGATGCCTGGTGTTGCATGTTGAGAAACCATAGTCGTGTTTCCCGGCAGGAGTGGCCTTGCAGTCCATGGCGCCGAAGTTCAGAGCCTGGCCTGGTGCCGCCACCAAATCCAGGATCGCTGTACCGGTGTCGATCGGAACGGCAGGGCATTGACCAGTGCGGAACTGGCGAAGAACTCGAAGCCGACGACCTCAGAGATGGTATGCTTGCCATTTTCGTCATTGCGGTGTTGGTCCTGTATCCAGCTTCAGTAGTCTTCCTATGCAATGTTCACCTCCCTGCCTTTCCTTCTTTACCATTTCTTGTAACAATACCTTGGTTTGGGTGAGTTGGTCCGTCATAAGACAAAACTTGAAAAGCTCACGAAACGAAAGACGTACAATAAGTGCCAGTCCTGTTGTATGTGTTTTGTCTTTGCTTTTTGTGCTTTTCAAGTTCTCTCTTACCATTTTTTCTTCCTGCATAGTGCAGAAAACTCACCTGCTGTTCATGTAAGGTTGGAATATATTGACTTTACATTTGATGCCATTGTTCATATGTAAGCATTGTCTTTGATGCTACGGCTATTTTCAAATTAAAGGTTGTCATAGCCCCCCATCATATGGCTACTATCCACTGCTATGTTGCTAACGAGATGAGAATACGAGCATTAAACCTGCGCTCATAGTTATAACAGGCAGGAATGGAAGGATTCGGCAATTTGAAACTCGCGGAACAAAATGAAGGGTAGTGAGGCAATTGCAAATGAATCGAGTATGGAATAAGAAATTAAAGGCAAAAAAATGAAACAGAAGCCTGCAAGAAGCATCAAGAAAAACACAGACATTCTCATTGGTCACAAAGCACGGTGCAGGATGTGATTATTTGCTGTCTTGTACCGAAGCTTAGCACTTGACGACTGTCAGAAGCGAGGAGTAGGGCAGTCATGGAAGTCAGACGTGTGAGATGAAGCAATGACGCTTTCTTGCCATAAGCAAATATTTCCTTCAATAGGAATACATTTGCGTTAACTTTTTGGGGAACATGAAAGCTCTGCTTATCATTCAATGTCACTGTCTGCTGTGAATATCGTATTTACTCGTGTATTGACTGCACTTTTTACTAAGCTACTTAGGCTGTGCACTTTTTTTTATTTGAAAAATCGGAGCAAAGTTGGGGGTGTGTTTATTATGCAGGGAAAATTTTGTGAAAACTTTTTTGGTATAAGCAAAAAAATGCGATAATGCAAAAAAATGTTAGATCGCTCAGCTTTTTTGTTGCACTTCACTCATCTTCTGTGGTTGAAAGCGCTATCTTCTACCAGCCTTTCCCGTGCAGCTTATGCATGCCATAAAAGCGTTTCACAGCTATCTTTTCTCGCAATTGTTTAACAGCAATAGTGTTATCTGCTGTGATCTTGAGGCGCGTCCAGAAGCGTGCGCTACAACCCCATGATGCACTTTTCGAACTTCGTGGCAATCTCGCACCACGACCAAGCCGCCACCGTTGACGTCGTAGCAAACAATCAATATTGCAGTAAGCTACCATTGAAGCATCAAAACAAACCGTCGATAACAAGATTAACGACAGAATACGGCAGCCGCCCCGCTTGCAACCAAAGCGAGAATCGGGGACCATGTTACGGGAATAGCAACGATCTTTATCGGGCAGCAAGCGGTTTTTTTTTCTGGTTTTCCAGAAACCTGCGACGTGACGGCAACGAAAGGCTTTTCGCGACAGCCATAGCAACAGGAAATCCTGTCGTCCTCGCTCAAAAATTGCATGCATGTGGCTGGGCCTTAAAGTTTAGTATTTGCAGGAAACGGCTGTCGGTTGGCGCAGGAAGTTTCATGACCTTTTCTCGCAGTGTGTTTGTCAGCCGCGATGTCTCTACACTCGCGTCGTTCGTGAACCCCCATTGTAATGCATAGATATTTAAAAAAAGACTGGGTAAGTGCCGCGCACAGATAGAAAAAAAACTATACGGCACGCGGCAGCGGGCGGAGGGTGGAGGGAGCGAGCCGAGGTGGCTGAGGGAAGTCGGCATAATAATAAAAAACGGAAGAGATCCAACGGGCAAGGAGGCGTCAGATGTCGGTGTGCGGGACTGCAGCGGAAGAATGTAGGGGGAGAGTTTATTACGCAGTGAAAAAAAAAAGTCCAAATTTTCAAGACTGAAGTCGGGGGTGTGTTTATTATGCGAGTGCGTTCATTACACAAGCAAATACGGTATACGGGGTGACCAGTGAACAGTTGTGCAGCATGAGCAGTCAGTTTTTTCAATCAACAAACTCAAGATACGTGCATGCGCAGTAAAGGTGGTGACGCCGCACCCGAGATTGAGCTCGACCCTAAGCTGCTTTGCATCAAATAAAAGTGGAGCTCGCCCAGGCTCACTCATTAAATATATTTTGCAGTTACATCTCTCTCGAACTCAGACTCACCAATATTGACTTCCTCCAAACTCAGTCAGACTCATGAAAGTTTTCCTCGAGCCAACTTACTCTGACTCAAACTTGCCAAAATATCACTCAGCCGAACTCACTCGGACTCGTACTCACAGCCCGATTGGTGCTGGTGTCAGCTCATGAGGGAGTCTGCAGGCCTATGACACTTGCTACGCACTTACGCAGGTTTCACACTACTGGAGGTGCATTAATCAGCGGATTTGAGTTACACCGAGACCTACAAAACATTTTTTGCTTGTGCCTAGCTCTTTGCGGAGAAGACTGCGTGCCCGTCGGCGGCAACAGGAACGAGGGCCTCTTGGACACCATGTTGACATACGTGGCATTACCGTGGCACCACATTGTGGCCGGTATGTATTGCTCACCTTCTCCCTTTCGCTGGCATTGTAATTCATCAGCTAGCCACTTGTGACTGCATCGCGTCTGTGAAGTTGTGCTGTGGATTGGTTTGGTTACTAAGCAACTTAGGCTGTGAGAGATGCCACAGTGGAGGGTTTTAGATAATTTTTACCACTGAAAATTTGTTAACTTGTCAACTTACCCTGACATTCCACATTACATGGGCCTCTAACATTTCGCTGCCACGGACATGTGAATGCTGTGAAAGTGGTTGAACTCTGATGGTTTGATCCCTCATATGATTTTAGGCTATAAGCTTTATGAGGTACTTTTTATTGCACCTTCAAGTAGTTTTTGGCTACAGGTCTGACAGCTGTTTGTTATCAGTATATTCAATGTGAAATGAATGCGTTGATTTCATTTCAATCAGTGTCTTTCAAGCCAGTAGCCGAGCATCCTAACATTGTGCCACTGCGATGGCTCCCTATGAAGCTGTGCTTCTGAACACATGGTCCTGGTTTCAATTTTTGATGGCAGCTGCATTTCAATTAAGGCAGTGTGTTGCAAAAATGTTCATTGGACCAAAATAGTTAAAATAACCATGGGTTCAGCTTAGAATACTGAATTACAGTAGTACTGAAAAGAAAACAATCTGCAAAATGGAGATACAGTAGACTCCCAATAATTCAAACTCTGATAATTCATACTTTCGGTCAATTCAGAAAAGCAATACATGATTTTGTAAAACGTGGGATCACAGTAAATGGCCGATGAACTTGGGGACCTTACAACTCGGCTTTCTGTTCATTGCGTGTTGTTAGGTTTTAAATACGCTTAAAAACCTTTTAAATCTGATAGAATCAATGTCTAATCATAATGTGTGGTATCACCTCACCCACAATTATATATCTGAGAACTTCTGAAAAATCAAACTTCTTGATAATTCAAACAAAATTGAGAGGCCCCTTTGGGTTGGAATTAACGAGAGTCAACTGTACTTGAGGCAGTGAAAATTGCAGACATGATAGCTCATCTGAGTCTTCTAAAGGAAGGACGAGGGTCTTAAAATAGTACAAAATTGTCAGAAGTGCTGACTTTCAAAAATTGCAGTTTGAGGCATTTATAGTCTAAAGTATGTTTTGCAGAATTTTCATATTATGGCAAAATACCATTTCTTTTTGTATATATATGAAAGCTTAATATATGAAATAACAAATGTTTTTAAAATGAATACATAGTTTTCTTGGCATTGTTATTTTTGAAGTGAATGTGCCTTATGGAAGTTTTGAGGAAGTTTCTGTGAAGATGTCTAAACAAATTTAGTACCATTTTTTTCTTCAGCACTTGAACTACAGGCTAAAGCTTTTATTTTTCTCTCAACCTTGATAGAGTTGTAATTACATGACAAACACGAGCTAATTACTGAAAGCTCATTTTTACCTTGCGAGTTTAAAAATTATTTCTGACCAAAGAAATAACCGTTTTGACATCTAGTGACAACAGATCTGGTGGCAAACACTAGGGGTTCTTTGAATCGAACTGCCAGCAACGGCATCTCTGAATAGCAGGCACCAATTGGGGCATGAAGCTACATAAAAAAAACAGTTGTCATTAGCTTTAGAGGCCTGTAATCGGAAATTACAGTAAAATCTTGTTAATTTGACCTCCATCAATTTCGGTATTGTGTGTTCTTATTCAGACAGTTTGTAAATCTTAGAGGCAGGCGAATCAAAAGATCTGGTGGCAAACACTAGGGGTTCTTCGAATCGAACTGCCAGCAACGGCATCTCTGAATAGCAGGCACCAATTGGGGCATGAGGCTACATAAAAAAAACAGTTGTCATTAGCTTTAGAGGCCTGTAATCGGAAATTACAGTAAAATCTTGTTAATTTGACCTCCATCAATTTCGGTATTGTGTGTTCTTATTCAGACAGTTTGTAAAGCTTAGAGGCAGGCGAATCAAAAGATCTGGTGGCAAACACTAGGGGTTCTTCGAATCGAACTGCCAGCAATGGCATCTCTGAATAGCAGGCACCAAACTCAAGGACCATGCTTGCTTGTTCTAAGAGTGCCAAAAGACCGGAAACTTCTAAGAGTGCCAAAAGACGGGTGATGACTGAGAAGTGGCAGTTTTCTCGTTATTCGGCGCATTTACACTGTACAAATCTTCAAAACTGCGTGGACGCTCCGGTCGTGCCACTAGCATTCATGGCTTCGTCTACAGAAGATGTCGGACTAAGTAGTTTCGTTTTGAATCTGTGTGCATAAATTGCACGAAGGCCTTGATAACTGTGTGGATTTTCTCTATGATTGTGTCGTTAGCTGCAGGAGCAAAACGCAACATCTAGTACAGTGTGACGAGGCGAAATTCATGCACAAAATGTCAGATGCTCGAACATGAAGAAAGTTGTTTTAGGTAAAGCACATTATAGCCTTGGTTTACTGAGTAATGCTGGCGTAAAACTTGTTTACTACATTGCATTGGACAAACAATGTGTTGCCAACCATACTGCAGATTAAAATATTATCGTCACGTATGTGTGAGGGTGGTGGGCCATCGTGGTATGTAGGTCAGAGCACATTTTCGATGAGTTAAACATGGGGGTCTCATGCCATGTTCGAATTGAATGAAGGCACAGGATGGGAAAAATTTCACCATAACCCTGCACTTATGCACAATAAGAACATGATTTGGGTATTCCTATAGCAAATAAAAGTGTACTAGAAAGCATTTGTTCCTTCTTTAATTTTTTAATGCTCTCGGTAGTTCGGCATTCTGTTAGTTTGGACATTTTGCCAATATCAAGGCTTTACCACAATTAATTTCTTTCCTTCTTTATGCAAAAATGCCTGCTATTCTTTCTTTGTTGCCATTCCACTCACTTGCTCTGCTGTTCCAGGCTGGTAAAACAAACATGGAAGCTTTGAGAATAAAATGTTCGCATTATGGTATGTTTGCACCGCTGTAAAATGTTCGCACCACCACGCACATATATGGCAGATGTTGCTAGGCCATTAGTGTTTTGTGCATAGTCTTGTGCATAAACTTCAGGGCAGCACTACCATTCGTGTTTTGTTTCTGTGTTTTTATTGGTTAACGAAGTTTTGTCTAACAATACTCTTAGCTGCTCTGCTAATGAAAGAGCACAGTTTACTAAATTTATTTGCTTTTCAAATTCTCTCTTTTATCTCTTTATGTGTAGCCATGAAATGCAGCATTCAAAACCGATTACCGAGTATTTTTGCTGGTTATTAGCTGTGCCACTACTTCTGTTACATTCAAACAATTGCTTTACACATTTGTCTTGGTACAATCACAGATTACAGTTAGTATATTGAAACTACCAGGACGACATAGATGACGGCTGTTTCTATACTTTTTTATTAAATTATTTATTTATTCACTCACTTATTTACAGAAATACTGCTGGCCTCCAAAGGGCCGGGCCCACGCAGGAGGGGCATCATTTAAGAAGAACAAATATGAAAAGAGCATTGAGAGCAATACATGTGTGCGAGGACAATGCGACACACCTTGTAAACCTAAGCCACAGAATAATGAGTAATGCATGCGGGTTAATGTTGGAGTAAGTATATTGAAGCATTGTTCGGAATCCTTGTAGTCATGATGTTATGTGAGCTATTGGGTCAGTACTATATTGAGATCTGAAAGGCAAGCTATTGCATTCAGGGTGTGAGGGAAGAAAAAATATTTGAAAACATTCATTCTGATACTAAGAGGAGTTAATTAAGAATTCATTATGACAATGACTTGTTAGTCACAGTTTCGGTAATATTAGGTATAGTCTGGGACGAAGAGGCAGTTTTTTTAGTAGAAAAGAGAGGGAGTTTGTTTTGAGTAGAAAAGAGAGAGATGTCCCACATGCACCTTTATTTTTCTTACACTCTTAAGCAAAAGGGCATATTTGAGGTGTCTTTATGATGCCACAATGGTTGTCATCTATCCTGCATGCCACTCCTAGCATTTTCGCTGCACGTTTGCTGAATCTATGTGACAAGTAGTGTTAGTGATATGATCATGGCATACCATTTTCGATAGGTAAATAGCACGCATTAAGTTTCAAAGAACTTACCGTAAGAGCCAGAATATAGGTAGCTTTTTTTTTTTTAAGCAAACACAATTACAAGTTGACTGTCGTCTTATATACCGGTCATTGGCAGAAAAAATGTAGAAGTCTCGCAACAATAGGCAGCTGATGTCGAAAGCTTCGATTGCCATCATGAACATCAGCAGCAGCGCTGTTGGGCAAGGCTAGGCAAGGCCTACAGTATTCTAGCAACGCCATTTTGCCTCAGTTATCTACAGTCAGTCTGCTGTTTTCTCTTTTCTATTTCCTTCAGAAATTAATGATAGTTTACAACAGTTTATGATAGGCTTTAAGAAGAAATTGTCTAGTATGCCGAATTGGACGGCAACCTGGAGGCACAAAGGGAATTCGGTGCATCGGAGAAATGTGTCCAATACTGGAGGAGCCCAAAGCAGCTCATCACGTCCTGCAGTATCCAAAAAAAACTTTGTTTCGTGGACGGACTGCAGTTCACTCCGAACTGGAAACGCTACTCGTTGAATTTATCTGCGAGCTGCGTGCATAGTTGCTACCTGTAACAGTGGTGTGCATCCGTGTGCAAGCTCTCCAGATAGTGCGCGTCTCTGGGCTAACGAGGGCGCAATTCAAGGGTTCGCCATTGTGGGTGCACCGATTTATGAAGCAGAAGGGCTTTGCGCTGAGGCGACATACATCCGTCTTTCTGCAAATGCTGCATCAGTAACGCATTGGATGGAATGGAGGACGATGCACTCTGTGACATTACTAGTGAAAAACAGATGTCATCGGACTCAAGTTCGAATGAGTCTGAGTGACAGCGTTTTGTGGCCTTCTGGTGTTTAACTACATAAGATTAGTGTCTAAATAAGAAGAAATGTCATCACAGTGTAGCTGGTTGTGTTGTGTATTTACCAAGGTAAGGGTGCGTCACGATACTTTGCAATTTTTTTATTTCTTTTTTGGAGATTCAATGTTTAGGGGGTCGACCAATATTCCGGTCTGACATAGATTCTGTTTTTTTTTTTGGTAAATGCAGGCAAGATATACAACATTTATTGTGTGGTAACAAAATGCCCCAGATTCACCTTTTTTTTTTACCCTCTAAACTAAGGGTGGGGGGGCGACATTTCAGGCGTCTTTCTGCCTTACAACAACCATCATCAGGTTAGCGTGCGTTCCCTTCTTTAAAAGTGTGCGCTTGCTATGGTCACGTCAAGAATGCTGTGTCATGCTAAGAGCAGGCACGCCATCAGTGACACCCCGCCACGGTGGTCTAGTGGCAGAGGTACTCGGCTGCTGACCCGCAGGTCACGGGATCGAATCCAAGCTGCGGTGGCTACATTTCCGATGGAGGCGGAAATGCTTTAGGCCTGTGTGCTCAGATTTGGGTGCATGTTAAAGAACCCCAGGTGGTCGAAATTTCCGGAGCCCTTCGCTACGGCGTCTCTCATAATCATATGGTGGTTTTGGGATGTTAAACTCCACATATCAATCAATCATGCCATCAGTGACATGCGATAATGCAAGCAAAATAATGCAGGATAGATGACGATTATTGCTGTGTCAGAACAACACCTTGAGCACACCCTTTCTTTTTAGAATGTAGAGTGTTGCATTTGGTGACCACACGTGCTTGAAACCATCTGGTACTGCCGTACCTCTGTCGCAGATCTACTGGACGTACGACGCGAGCCCCTGCTTACCTTCTAGCCTCTGCCCATCTTGCAGGCGTTGAAGACTAGTCGATTGCATTTTTCTTGTCCAAGACTGCAACTGCGCCCTCATCGCATCCTCTGGATCAAATGCAGCCAGCTGGGGGCCATCGACGCACAAGGATAGAAATTATGGCGAGTCTAGAGAGAGAAAAACTGCATGTTTTTCAATCTCGTGCTCCACGATGTGTTGCAGACATTGCATTTTGAGGCCTTGCAGTAGGCACGAAAGCAGGGATAGAATATTAGTCACGCACACCACGTCAAAATTAGCTGTTGGCAAATGACGCTCGTGCACTCCATTTTCTGCGCTGCTCGAATGGTCTGCAGGCAGGAGTTTACTGCTCTGTTACAGTTCTGAGTAAGCATTGTTCAAGAACTACAGTTGTCTCAACATTGTCAGTCGGCTGAGGTTGTCAGTGAGCCTATTATGTGAGACATAGGATCACCAGATTAGGTACTTGGTATCATAGTACAATTATGATACTCATGAACACAGAGACACAGAGCTAAGAATTTAGGCTCTGTTCCCTGTGGGCTGCACTGTTGAGATCCTTTGAAGCTTCAGAAAGATCAACTTACCCACATTTCTGCTGTAAAATTGAACATTGTTGTCACCCATTATTTTAATTTAATTATTTATGCTGCAATCATGATCATGTGTTGTCTCTCGTGATCACGATTTACTCGTTCAGCTAGTGCATGTCATCCTAATGAAGTGCAACAAGCTAGCCTCTTTAATTTCATCTATGAACAAATATATGGCACATTCAGCGGATTGTTTCTTAGCGGTGCCACGAATTTTCAAAGTTGGTAAGTCGTCCGTATATTGACAATAAGCACACTCTTGTATAGCAGTTTGAACAAGGTCAGAATAACGCTACTAGAATCTAGCACTGCTGTTGCCTGTAAAGTCTAATGCTGTAATACAGAAAATCAGAGTGTGGTGACAGCAATCTCAAAGGGCTTGCTGTATCTTTTATTATTTATTTACTAATTAAGGTGTTTGTAGTGTGCTGCATGCTGTCCCCAACAATATGAAGCATGACTAGCTTTTGCCAAAGCTCCGGTGCGCTCGGATGTCGCGGCCTAAACCGATAGGCATCTCGTGCATGTACTTCGCAATATGCAGCTAAAATGAAGATGTCTTGGCAGCAGGTGCGTCAGACATCACATTCATGGGGAGATCATTTGCTGCACTTTGTGTGTGTGCCACATTCTGAAAAATGACTTTAATATATTATTTGCATTATAATGACATACGTATTATTTTTTACTTGATGCATGTCCTTTTTTTATTTTTGCTCTTTACAGCATATAAATTGATAGTCTTGCATACATGGCTTGCCATGACTTCAAAGCATGCGCCTCACTGTGAGGTTACTAAAAATTTTTAAATATTTGTTTAGTTTTGGTGCTGCAAACCATCTACAAACAAATATGCAGCTGCATGGAATCACAGTGCTGGTTGGGCAGCATTACAGTAATTCTGGGCTGTGAAGGTATGTTGTCTCTTACGCGATTCCGTCCATTTATGAAGTGCTCACTACATAACTTGTAAGTAACGCTGCTGCAATATAAACTGTGCTTCTGTCAGCAGTAGTGCTTATTGATTGATTCGTACCTATAACCACGGCCACCTCGATCGGGGCGCGCGGCGGTGTTGCTCCGGCCGTCCCATTCGGACGGAGGAGGCGTAATTGCAGAAAGGGGCGTGGCCGCTGCTTTCGCCGCACCGCGGTGCGCGCCTACTACCCCTCCATTCCTTTGCTATCTATGCAGGAAGGTTTGCAGCACCTTGAAAATATCGCTGTATAGTAACCGTGGGTTAGCATACCACCTCCCTCACCCTCACAAAACGCACATAAAAGAATGGATGGCGGCTATCGCTATATTCTTTATTTTTGTGTGTGTGTGCACCAGTCCCTGTCGTGATAATGGTGCTCGAAGCGAACACACCCGTGAGCCAGTTTAAAAAAAAAATTGTTTTGCTGTTCTTCAAGTGCAGCATATCAGAATTAGGAGGTGCAGTCTGTCGTAATCATACATCTGTACATGAGAATCCGCTGATGATTGTCTTATTTTGTACTTGCCATGTTTGTGTTCAAGCGGATTTGCAAGCATTACACGTTCACGATGCATACAATAGTTTATTTCACACTCTCGGTGCTTTCTTCAAACGCGCAATACTTTGCAGCTTAGCGGCTTATTTATTAGTTTTTACGGTAAGCCACTCTGTCTGTAATAGTTGTGGCAATATTTGACAAAAGGGCCTTATAAATTTGTTGGCAACTATTGAGCAAGTCACCGATGAATGATCTTCTCTTGCCGGGCAAGCAAAAACAGGATAGCTCAGTAAGTAGAGTGAAATCAGAGCTGTCAACCTTTTGCACACATCTTCCTTACCAATGTGTGGCAAAGCGATGTCAACGGCCTTTTTCACGCTAATTAACGCAGCAACAAACTCTGGCTTCGGGAACACTGAAGCACCTCTTGTCTGCTGACTACTGAGTCTCATCACAGTGGATTTAGACAGTCTTGGTGTATGTAGGCTTGGGCAGGCGTTGCATGTCTGGCGTTTCAACAGCCTTTGCAATGAAACCGGCAATGTATGCTACTGCGGAATTTTCCACGGTAGGAGGAGGTGGTAGCACTAAATAAAAATGGTCATGTGAGATGCCTAATAAAGGAACATAATACCAATTATCAGTAAAAACAACTAATCAGAGGAACATTGTTTAAATGAATGTGCTTGTACTTACAAGGCAATACTTTCAAGTGCACCAGCACACTGGTAACATCATCAACATAACTAGTTGGTTCAAAGAAGCTGGAAAACAGATCAATACAAAGTATATATGTTAATGGCACCTAAACGCTTAACAAGTAGGGAAAAGTGAACTGTAAGCTTTTGAAACTTTTCGTCAAACGTCATTGCAGTTCGTGCATACCTGGGTAATGCATTGTTAGTTCCAGCAGACATGCTGTCTTCAACCTCCACACTGTTGGATGGTTCGCGACAGCTGAAAAACAAAGCAGGAGAATGAGTTGCGCATCCTGTTGAAGTTTGCTACCAGTATCTGATGCGTGCACAGAGTAGTGCGCCAAAGAAAACAGAAGTAATGGTCCTGAAACCTGCATAACATTCTGTTAAGACACTCATGCCTACCTAGAAAGGGCACTGCCGCATGCAGCCAAGGTGGCTTGAGTACTGCTCGAAGTTTCTGATTCCGAAGGCATCCCTGTGGGAACTTCAGGAACAATCTTCTCACACAAGGCTGACACAGAGGCACCGTACATGCTGGCGAAAAGAAGAGAGATGGCACAGAGATGTCATCAGAATGCTGATATTCGATAAAACATTGCTTGCAGTGTAAACATTAAGTGGTTAGCAAACAAGATAAAGCAAACCATGGGTACTGTAGATTGCAACATACTAGAATAACTTTTGCAGCAAAACATTTGCACCTACCTCATAACACTCTGACCATCTGCAACATTTGATGCTTGTGATGCACATATGACACCAGTCTGCAGTAACTTTTTCAGGCAGAACGTTACAGATCTAGCATCGAGACAGTCATTGCATCCTGCCATTTGGCGCAGAGCGCTGAAAAGAGCCTCAACCGGATCACTTGAAAGGTTTCTGGTGAGAACATAAAAGAACCCACTGTCCAGTAGGTATTTCACACAGAGCACAGTAGACTTGCTTGTCAGCAGCAATGCTTCATAAGTCTCCGCACTGAGAAATTTTTTCCCAGTTGACGTGCAAGCATTGTGGAGACTTTCGAGATACTGTGGGAATTCCTATTCAAGCCAACGCAAGCGTCTGTCTGTCACACAGAAGAAATGCATTTGGTCAGGCTTGCTTAGGTGCCGATGTGCTCTTCTATTGGCGACGTTGTGGATAGCAAACCATTTCTGAATTGCTTTCATGAACTCCACAGTCGCAGAAGTGTTTCTGAAGGGCTCAGCTTTCGGGTGGTGATACGAGTACTCCATAAGAAAAGAAACTGCAGCAATCACCTCATCTGAAAAGAGCTGAACCGCTCTCCCAACATTCATCTTTTCGAAGTTGCTGGGTTCCACATGCTTTTGAGTCGGAAAGCGAACCAGTTTAACAACTTCGTTCTTTTGGAGCTCATACAGTTTCTTTATGAACAATCCTGTTATTGGGAGGCTGCCATCTGTCATATCGCCATCAAGAAAGAGGTTCTGCACATTTTTAATGATATGGCATTGATCGAATGACAAAAACAGTTGCCTGTCTACGTTGCATGGATGGCTCACAACTGGCTTCAGTGATCCATTGCCGAAATGTCTCATCATAGTAACATTAATTTTGTAACTGTCTGTAACAACTCCTATCACTTGAAGACCACACTTTTCAACTTCATCAATTACGTGGTTTGTCAGGCGGTACAGCACCTTTCCACTTAACTGATTTGTAAAAAAGAAACCGTATGGTATTTTGTACGATTTCGAAAGCCCTGACACCACAAAGCAAAGTACTTTGTTAGCAAGCACAGTATTGCTTTCAGTGTCCTGTCTGATCGTGTCAGACTTTGTTGTTTCTTGTCCGAAAAAACAGCCCATTTTACGGTCATACACATATTTCGAGCTTATGGCCATTTCATCATTGATTAGCGAACACATCCTTGCTTGCTCTTTCCGATCTTTCAGATCTTTCCTGTGCTATACGCTCTTTCATCAATGGTGTGACGCTACCTTTACTGCATGACCTACCGACATAACAGAGCAAAGTAGTTTTTGCGGGTAGCTTCAGGAGGCCTCGGTTATGGATGTAACGATAAGTGTTCGGTGATAAGTAGTATAGGACTGCACACTCTTTTACAAAGTCCGGAGTCCAAGTGGGGCGCTGCCTCGGTGCATTAACAAGCTGTTCAATTATAAAGTCCTCCAGAGAAAAATTCGCAGTACCCACCTTTTGCAAACATTTGTTCAGTGCAGAGTACAGCGTGTTCGACTTGTAACCGTTGACCTTTTTCTTCAAGCTTTCATTTTCTTTTTGAAGCCTCTGCATGGCATCATTTTTTCTGAAGAGCTGCACTCGCAAGCGGTTTATTTTCCGCACGTCGGAAAGCCGACATGGGACGATTTCGTCTGTAGTTTGAGTTGTGCATCCTGTTTAATTCACTGGGTGCCTATTCTCAATATTTTGGGTGACAGCCTGTATGTCATGAGTAGTTTCAGACTCCAGCAAGGTTTCAGAACTCGTGGGTAGGCAGATCACAGACTTCGGAACCAGCTGGTGGCTTTCTTCACGGCAACTTGGTGTGCAATCTTCGACACTGTCGCTGTTCACTGTGCAAAGGACGACCTTCGTTGCAGGAACTGCACACGGTGGTTGTTCCCGCTCCAACTTTCGTCGCTTCTGTGGTATTTGCGGCTGCATATAGGTGGGGTAACCAGGAAAGACACTGGGAACAGCAGTCCTCTTCAGACGTCGTCTCTTGGGTGAATCAGAAGAGTAGTCATCGCCCACAAAATGCAATGAGCAGACAACGCTACTGGCGGACTTGTCGTTTGGAATGAAATCTTTCCTGGACATGGCTTTAAGCCACTTTTGCTGGATAGCCTTGTCTGCAGGAAACTCGTGGAAGCTTACACCAAGCTTTTTCTTGGTGCTTGACTTGCAGTACGGCACGCAACAGTACGGCATGTTTCTGAAAAAAACGGTAAATCACACACGGAATCTCAAAGCAGACCAAAAAACAAATTATTTGCCTGAAGTCAGTGTGGTATGACAACGTGAAAATGCATATGAAAACGTGTATGCAAGTCGCAGAAAGCCATATCAGCAGCCGTTCAGCCAAAGAACCGGTAGATTAGTTTGAATCTTAAAGGGCAAACAGTATGCACGCGATAATAGAGACAGAAATTGGGGGACCCTTAAGCTTCACTTTAAGAGTTAAACACGACAGCAATACCCACGCGTGCATGCACACACACAAACACACACACACACCGCCTTCTCAATTGCTAGCATGCCTTCGCTTCTCTGTGAATACCTATCGTTACTGCATTTACCTCGAATTTTCGCCCACAACCAAAGACGCCGACACCGGAATTACTGCAATTACTGCGAAACGAGCGCATTAATTTTGTCGCGCTAAAACTACAAGCAACACGAAAACAACAGAAAGTGGTCATTGGGCGAGCCGCCCTTAGCTAATTCCTAGGCGACAAGCGTCGCTCATCGCTTCCGCGTTCAGATTCGCCTACATGCGGCCTGCGCTTAAATAGGAACGTCGCATTCGCATCACTGTCGTATCGTGGGAACTTCAGAATGCAAAGAGACGTGTCCACAAAAAAAAAATGTTGCCTATCATCGGCAAGGTGAAAACGACTATAACATTAGCATTACCGCAATTTAGTTTTCCAACAACGTGTTGCTCTCAAGACAGCCCTTGACCGCAGAACATAGCTATGCAGTGTCGACGAAGACGAAATGCATTTCCATTAAAAAAAAAAAAAAAGAAGCATGGCGCACGCCGATACAGGAGGCCGTTTGAGAAACGAGCGCCAAAACAAAGAATGAGAAGCACGGCAAATCGCGCACTCGGCACAACAATGTGTCATGGCATTTGAACGCGCAATGCAAACGAAGCCGCCTAAGCGCGCTGCTTGGCTCTATCTCGAGCATAATACGCTACAGTGAACTGTACTCACTGTGTAAAGACCGATTAAGAAAACATAACAGCGTACCTTGATTCCAGTCACCACGTGCACGATGTCCAATGCGCATTTCTCCAAGCATGTCTGCGGCTGTCTACGGCGCCGCCAGCGCATTGTCGTCCGCAAGGGAGTGGGACAACAGTGCCGCGTCGCGGCACACGGCCGAACTACCTTTATTACATTTTTTCAAAGGCGAGCGCCAAATGGGACGGCCGGAGCAACACCGCCGCGCGCCCCGATCCAGGTGGCCGTGCTGTAACACTTGCTCCAATATTTTTCTTTTCTCTCCTGGGGAGGGATTATCGACAGTCGCAACTGTATTTCCCCAACCGTTGCGGCAAGCATAACAAGCTAATGCTATGCACAATCTTTTCTTTTTGAACATGCTATCAGAATCAGACCATGCTGGCTCCTAAAGGGACACTAAGGTCAAATAACGATTCGCGTTTGAGTGAAAGCTGAATGTATGACAATGCCTAAAACGACAATGTTATCTACAGAAGTTCCCTACTTACCGAGAATTTAAGATAAATGCACCAGAACAGATATGCTACGCGTACGAAATTTGCAAAATGATCCCGATGGCATGAGAGATACCTCAATTAATCACTAGTAATTGAACTAGCTACTCTAAATAACGAACCTTTCGTGCATCAAGAGATGTAATAAAATGTTACTTGCTCGTTTCTGTTTTATTTATGGGGAAAAAAAACTGCCAGGTGTTACTGTGGGGAGTGGTGCGAGTGGTTCAAAAGTTCAATTTTCGCCCGGTTAAAATGGACAGGTCGTGCCATCTAGCGGGGCCCAGTTGAACGAAGGATAGCAATATTGAAGGCCATGGCTAAAAATTGTTCAATGGCCGTCGTTCTTGCTGTGGCTCCCGCTGATTTCATTATGCTGCTACTAGTGTGGGCGGCCACGCAGTACAGCCAGGCAACGTTGTTCACGGCAACAGTGATGCGAAACGTTCTGCTTGAGGCGGGTAATGTGAAGTGCGCTAACCCAATGCAGACTACTAAAACGTGATTTTATTTCGAAATAAGCACTTTCTTGCCGCAAAAGTAACAATACAAGGTTTCTGGACTGTTATTTTAACAATGAACATTGACTTAATAGTTGCCTTTAGTGTCCCTTTAAGCCATTACAAACGTTTAACTAGAGAAAGCGAAGTGTCACTAGCAGCAATGCAAGGTCTAAGCGCACAACAATGTTTGTAGTTCATTGCAAAAGTGTTATGTTGAGGTGCGCACAGTTTTTACCAGCATTTTCATAGTGTTTAGTTGTTTGCCATATAGCAATTTGACCAGTATTTCTACTGCAGTTTGCTAAATATGTGCATTCAAATGAGCAACTTCAACAAAATTAACGTACAATCTTCTGTACACAAACTTGATAAATGCTCAGTTTGGTTGCATTAAGAAGCCTGTGCACTTCTTTTCTACTGACTGAACTGAGTTGTGTTGTGCAGTGATCAGCTTGATAATTTACGTGGTGTCGATTGTACTTATGTCACTGCATTCACCGCAAAAGCAGTCAAGTGTGGTCAGACAGTACACATACCAATTGACTACATTATTCCCATTCATTAATGCTACCATGTGACATGGCTTTTTAACACACCATCAAATGCCACCACTTGTGTGTTGACAATATGACTGTTGGGAGATACATTTTATCTTCATCAGCATGATGCTTTTGCACTATCAATTTCGGTTTAATAAGACATGTCTCAGAACAGTCCCTTTGTGCCAGTGGCATCTGATAATCCTTTCCAACTATTTTAAGTTTGTGTCGAACTGCGCGCAACTACCTTGAGCAGTTCTATAAAAAATGTCGAACCTGCTTTCACGGGTGACATCAGAGACCTCTTTCATACGTCGGGTTAACATTGAACATGCAAGCTTGTCATGATAGCAAATGGCATGTGACAGCCACCCGTAAGTTAAACTTCATCATGTGAATTAAGCCACATTTCAAAGTTTTGCTCACAATTTAGCACTGACATCGTCATCTTTCATACATAATATATTGTACATGGGCTTCTAATACTGTCACCAGTTTTTGCTACAACATTTATTTCACAGCCAGCTATATATACCAGTCATGATTTTACTGCTCACACCAAGGCATCATACCGCTGATATGGCTAGCTATAGCTGCCATACTATGTATTTTGTACATTTCCTAAAACAATACAAGAGCACTCAAGGCCTCCACATTCTAGGTACCGATTGTTGGCTGCTTTCTGGATGACGTCATGGTTTCAGCATTTGGAAGCTTATTCATTTAATACACTCAAACCTCAATTTTTTAGGTACATAAGTAGAATAAGTCACTTCACAATACAGAAAGCATTTAGTGTTCTTTGTTAACATTTGTGTATAACGATTGTACATGCTTATTCTCTTACTCGATATTCATGTAATGAAGCTTATAACACAATTATTTTGAAATTAGAGTGCACTACTTAGACGCGGACAAAAAACAGGGACAAGCGCTTACTACCCACTGAAAGTTTATTCGGAAAACTATGAAATATATACTGACAGATGAAACAGTGTCATGGCACATACGATAAGACCAAGTCACGGACCAAAATAACAAAACCAATGAAATATCTATGTACGTCAGCCCCACCTTACCAACGCCTACTGTGCCTTAAAGTGATTACTCAACTCCTATGGCATCTTCGACTGTCCAAAAGTGCTAGCTCCTTATCAAACAGAGCTATTGATGGTTTGCTGACGCAAGTCAAGTGTTTACGCGCTATGTATGCTGCTTCAGTTATAAGCCTTGTGCGCTCATCTTTGTATTTGTTAAGTACGACTGTGTTGTCAAACTGTACTTCAAAGCCACATCTAGTGACATGCTGCGCCAGAAAACCATCGTTGCCGTTG